GATCTCAAATTAGATTTATCGTAGTTTTGTTGATTATTTTAAATATAATTGTTCTATTGTCTTATTTTTATATAAAGTTTTTCTTTTTCTGAGAAAAAATAGGGGAGGGGGTTGCAATTAAGATGAAAGAAGAAAAGTGCTATCTAGTTTATGTCAATGCTATAGGTATTCTATGTAAAAAAAAATATGTATATATATATATATATATATATATATATATATTGTTTTTTAATTTTAACTGTCCCCTGGATATCATTTGGAGTATATGGTCAACTTTTTCTTAAATAATCTAATAATTTAAATCCTCCATTTATTTTTCTCAAGTGATAATTTAATTTGTGTCTGTTGGATAATACACAGAGACAAAAAAATGCCACAGAAAAATTATATAACGTTATTTATTGTATTTTATTACTATTCAATATTTCAATTGTTAAATAATTAATATTAGTATAGAGATTCTTATATTTACGTTGATATATTAATGTTATGAGATAATTGAACATTCAGAAAATCGGCAGCCTATTGCAATCAGTTTTGTTTACTTCTCCAGAAAAGTAAGACATTCTGTCTTAATTTTATTCAGTTGGTATTGTAACGTTTGATTTTATTGTTTTGTTGGATGTACAGCTTTATTTTTGATATACAGTATTTTTTAAATGTGTTTTTGTATTTGTTTATAAAACAGCTTAATAAATACAATATTTATTTGATTAATTTTTTTGTTGTAATTTAAATACATGGATCAGAATTCCTTATAAATTAATTATATTTTACTTAAGCATTTTAATATCGAATTTTTTAAAAAGTATTTCAGCATAATTTTAGGTTCTGAAGACTGGTAAATATAAAAGTCAAGGCATTTATTGTAAATTTATTAAATTAAATTCAAAACAAGTGAGAATTATGAAATATTGTGTTTGGTCATAATGTATTAATAATGCTTTTGATAAAATGTTCAATTCAGACTTCAGAATGAATTAGTTTGCCATTTTATAATGAAAAATTATTAGCTAATTGAGGACTTAAAGTATTGCCTAGAATAATTTCAAGTGTAAATGTATAAAATTCACATATTGGAATAGATTTCATCACAATTTTATTCACAAAACTTCTTCGTCTCTACAAAACAAAATATTTGTGTATTTATCTTACAATTTCTTTTATATAATCACATATAATTGAGTGGCTTCATATCAAAAACGAATATCTTTAGTTTTCAGAAAGCGCAGAAAAGGTCAATTTTTGTTTTATATATTCAACTGAAACTATTTCTGATGAGATGTTCATTTTTAATCTATAAAGAAAATATAAAGAATATCGAATCATGAAAAAAAAAAATTAGAATTGTTTTAAATTGAACCTATTTCAAGAAAATTGGTTAATCCCTTTTTTAAACATTGGAAACTTTTGAAAAATTACAGATGTCTGTTTTTTAATATCATTCCATGCAAAATTGATAAATTAAGAGATTGATTAATTAGAAAATAAACAAAAATATATTTTAGATTGCATGAGTAATATTTTTCATATTATTTTCCTTGAAATGTGTTAATTTTTTTTTTCAAAGTTTAAAAACATTGTGTGTATATGCTATCAGTATGGGAAATTAATTAATCATAATTATGAGAATACAATTAATAATGACAACCCTTCATCTTAGTTAGTCTGCCTTTGGACTCAAATGTAAGGAATAGACAAGCAAACTTGTTTAAATTGGTTGAAAATCGAACTCGAAGATGTTTGGAGCAAGAGCAGATCAAGAGATAAATGGCAACATAGGACTCTCTGTTTTAAAATATCTTAACTTAAACATTTTGAAAATAACCAAAAAGGTTCAAAAACACTATGTCAGAGGTCTCTACAACCTATTTCCCTCGCTTTACTTGATCTATCCTTAGTTTTAAACTGGATTGGTTAAAAGATCCTAAGATGATGGTTGTAGCTAGAAAGTTTGGAGGTAATACATTATTTTACCGCTCCATATCATCCCTATTTGGCTTAGTAGAACAAATCTTGTGAGGTGAGACAGAACATAAATGAATCGCGACTCTCCCTCTCTAGTTAGAAGAGGTTAATTGTCCCTGTAGAGAATACCTTGCCTTGGTTATATACTCTCCTCCCTCCCCACCATATGCTAGAAATGGCGAGGTAGAGATAAAAGATGAAAAAACATAATGTACAATTAGTAACTGTTTGAGAGAGAAACCGATGAACAAAGTTAATGGAAAGTTTTTTTAACTACTCTGTAATTAGAAATGGGAAAGGAAACAATGATATGTGTAGGGAAGCATTACCGCATGTGGCCTCTGTGACATATTTGCGCCCTCCAAACATTTTTGTGCGATATTTATGAGATTAATTAATATTTAATTATTCTATTAAGGAAAATTTGGAAATTGATAGAATTTAGTTGAATATAGATAGATAGAAAATAAACTTTATTCTGGGGCGAGAGGTCCCTTTGAATAATAATTTTGAACAAAAAAATAAAAATCACATCTGGCCAAAAATTACATTAATCAACATTAAAGAATATAGTATCTTCAGTGAAATTATATTGAAACAAAAAGTAACACCATTTTGAAAAAAACATTATTTAAATGAAAAGAAAAACAGAAATCAGGTAAAATAAAAACAAAATAATATAAACATGGGTTGATTTTTAAAAATAAAACTCAATTTCAACAACCATTCACCTCGGTCAAAATTTGTTTTATTGTACAACGTCATTTTGGGATGTGAGAAGGAATTGGTAGAGATGATATTTGAATGTGGACGTGGAGGACATGGCGGATATTAGATGGCTAGGAATTCCAGAAGGCAGTGGATCGGGCAATAAAGGTCGGAAACACGGGATCTTATTTTCTGGGAGTGGACCACAGGTTTAAACTGTAGGAGACTGTAGATGTAGGAAGGGTGTTGATCGTTTAGAATAGGAAATATCCAAGGAAATATTATCTGCAGAAAGAAGGGAAGAGCCACTTTAACTCATAAAGATGTGACAAATGATACCACCTCAAAGTACCGAAGGCAAATATTATGAAGGAATTCGTGAATCACTTCAATCTATCCTCAAGTACTATTGGGATGCCTCTGTACACCACACAGCCGTAGTCAAAGTGGGGGAAAATAAGAGAGGATACAAGGAGCTTGCGGATGGGTTGTGAGAGTAGGTGCGGGAGCGATGAAATTACTTAAGGGTGCTGACTTTTGGGAGGGCGAAATGGGGTTTTCAGGAGAGGTTTTCGTCTATGGTGATTCCTAGGTTTTTAACGGAGGAGCTGAATGTGATGGGATGATGGTTGACTAAAGGAGGAAGGAAGGAGATGGATTTAAGAATAGAACTGAAACCTATAATAATGGCATGAGTTTTCATCTCGTGTAGCTTTAAATTATTCACTACAAATACATACACATATAAATGTATGTATGTGGGTGTGTGTATATTTATTGATGAATGAAAATAGCAACTGTAAAATATAAAGAACTGTTGCGCCCTCTATTATCACTGTCAAGCCTGACTGGGGCCTCTACTGATAAGAGATCCTTCTTCTATGAATTATGACATCTATTCTCATCTCGATAATTTATACAATTATTGTCTAGTAATTATGGGAAACTAAAAATTCTTGACGTCTAGCTGTTTTTCAAGCACAATTCTTGATTTTTTCAAGATGCGAACAAATTCTTTCTCTTTAGAAACACTTTTATCCTTGTGTCTATTTATGTAGGTGGATCACACCTAAAATTTTGTTTAAATTCGTAATGGTTTTCAGGAATCATGTATTGTTATGTGTAATGGTAGTGTAAAGTTATAAAATTTTCTAAACATCCGATTTAATTGAACATCTCTGAAATTTATTTAGATCTTTTTATATATTTCAGATATTGTGTATGACAAAAATTTAATTTTGTCACTGTCTTTGATTTTGGAGAAATTATTAAACAACTCCGCAAAACTTGCAGTGATAGCTTGTACTGTTAGAAATCAAGACACTGTTGATACTTTCATCAGCTCAATCAGTAAGAAAAATCCTACTCTAAATTAATTCCACATATACCTATTTTTTTTTTTTTATCTTTTTAATGTGTGTTATATAAAGGAGCCTTCATTTTTAAAACATTGCTATCTTCATTAAAATATTAACTTTATTTTGTTTAAGGATATTTATGTTTTGTTTACTTATTTAGTTGTATTGTTTTTTAAGAATCAAAGGGGTTAGAAATAGAGCAGGACAAATCTAACTATCCGATGGTCATCGAAGCTAATTTTTCTACTCCAGTTAATATATACTTAATCAAAAAACAAAGTAAGTGTTTTAGATTATGATTAATGTAGTAGTTATTTCAAATTTCCTCCAATTGGTCTTGGATTCAATTGTTGGAGGTCCGTTTTCATAATTCATACTAGTCAGCTTTATAAAGTTAACTTTTTTAATGAAGAGGTGTGTAAAAAAAAAATTAAATTTCATCGATATATAACCAATTTCTTTACATTAACCATCATGTTAGCAATGATTTGTTTGATCTAATGATAATGTCAAAGATCTTTTTGTTAAGTAAAGGCCTTCATACAAATAGTAATAATTTAAATAATTTAATTTTTGAGTAAAATATATGGGCTATTAGGTTATATAGAAAAGGTTACAAATTTGCTTGTGTTTGATAGTCACAGTACCATAGTATTTCATGGCATCTATGAGACTTTCAGCTAGAATTATGGTTTGTCTAAAAAATGTTAATTTTCCATGCCTTGTTGTATGCATCAAAATTTTTCTATACTATCTATTCTAGAATTTATACTACCATATAAGTAGATATAAAATAATCTTTCTCATTTAAGTAATTTAATGTATTTTGTATTATTTTTATTGAGCATTTTGATTTCTTTCTTTTTTTTTAATCCTCCTATCTTTATTATTATAAACAGGTTCAATTATTGTTTCAGGGCTTATTGGTTAATATTATCTGTCTGTAAATTCACACCATAACTGAAAATGGCTAAGAAAGGAGATGAGAATGAGGAAAAGACCGAATTGCTGGTTTTCGGTTATGCCTGTAAACTATTTCGAGATGATGAGAGGGCTCTTTTGATTGATAATGAAACTCATTTGATCCCCTGGATGGGAGACGAATCTCTCAAAATCGATAGGTACGATGGAAGAGGTGCACTCTATGATTTGGCTTCTCACGAATCACAACCCGGAAGTTGGGATCAATTGAGTCCGGAGGAGCTAGAAATCGAAGAGCGTTGTGACAGTGAGCGTTATAGGTCGCTGTTTATGAATGAAGTTGAGGAAATTACCTATAAGGAAGAACAGGTGAAGCGGCAGCAGCAAGACTACGGTCAGATAGCTTATGATTACGATGCCCAAATGTCTGTAGACAGTGCGGACCAACCTGAATTGCCAAGCAAACCATTTGTGCCTCCTCCTGACATGGTTTTACCACCAGATCTAAAAGTACCTGAAACAATGAAGCACAGTGCTATCATTGAAAGGACTGCATTGTTTATCGCTCAACAAGGTTCACAAATGGAAATCCTTATGAAATTAAAACAACAGGGAAATAAAAACTTTGATTTTCTTTCACATAATGATCCTTTACACGAATTTTACAAGCACGTTCTTTCCTTAATTAAATCGGGTAGTTATGTTCCTACTTCGCAGGAACACATTTTCGATGAAAATCCTGTCGATGTGAGTACTGAGGACGATTCTGATGGACATTATCTGCATCCAAGTTTAGTAACTACTTTAAATCCTAAAAATGCTCCCCCTCCGCCTACAACAGTGCCATCTGCTGATAAATCTTCTCAGCCTTCAAATGAACCTCCTCTTCTCGTTCAGAAAGTTGTAGAAAAAATGATTAATTATGTAATACGCAATGGCCCAGCATTTGAAAGAGCTATTATGAGAAAAGATGATGAAAGATTTAATTTCATTCGCACAACGCATAAATATTATGCTTTTTATCGAAGTTCTTTGATGAAGAAACAGAAAATATACAATGAAGAACTCCTGCAAAAACTTCAAAAGCAAAAAGCAGCCGAAGAAAAAATTCAACAAAGCACAGAAGATCATGAAACTAAAACTTTTAAGAAAAGACCCCTACCTGTTAACTTCTCTATTAAAAAACCAAAAGAGAGCAAAGGATTAGAGGTTCCGAGTGCTTTGCCTGTTGAGGAAAGTTCTGATGAAGACGAAGATGTTTCCTCTCCTAAACAGTCATCGAGTCAAGGATCGAACAAGACAGAATCCCATTCGGGAGAAACCTCTGATGATCCAGAATATATTAATCCTTTGACCAAAAGATTAAAAAAATCAAACGAGACAACAAAAAAACATAAGCAGAAAAAAGATGCCATATTACAGAGTGAAAGGAAATTAAAAGTGGCTCAGTTTATAAAGGATTTGAAAAAAAAATCATCGTGAAAGTGTATGTACTTAAGTTTTTCTATCATGAATATGTGATAAATTCAGTTGTTATTCCATCTATAGTGTAAGCTGTAATATTACAATTCCATTTTTAATGTGGACATTGTTATTATTAGGCTTATCAGTATAGTTTCATAGTTAAATCTATAAAAGATTTGTCAGATTATATATGTCATATTGACAAGGTAATTTAGTTTTTGTAAAATTTTTTTAAAGTTTGTTTAAACTTGAAATTTGTAATATAAATATATTTTATGTTAATTTTGAGCTTGTATTTTTAGTTTATAAAAAATTTCATACTGTATAAACAGTATGAAATCTTTGAACCCATTTTAGTGTTTATCTCTCTCTCCCCCTTCCTCCCCTCCCCCATCATCTTCACTTCACGGGTCTTACAAAAAGTAAGTACTTTTCAAATAATTTAATAAACAATACATTTTAAGATCCAGCATCAATATGTGAATGAAAAAAATTCAATTATAAAAACTATGCAGTAAAATATATATCAAATATGTATCATAATTTGGAGTATCTTTTAGTATCATAGAAATGAAAACTTTTAATTAATTAACTGTGAATAATGTAGCATTATCTTATTCAATATTTGAGACTAATTATTTCAAAACCAGCTAAAACCATTTTTTTTTTTAATTTACCAGAGATACAAAGTTAACTGTGTAATGTAACTAGATTACTCTGTTTTAAACTCCAATAACACACTTTTAGTTAAAATGGCTGTACTAATTGAAGTAGTGAATTAAGAACTCTTGAAAAATAAAATAAAAACATGACCCGGGATAGCGGTCATACTAAAATAGTAACCAACTATTTTATTTAAAGCCAATGTTTTGACCCGACTTTGCAGCTCTTCTTGAAATTCAAAAATGCAAAGGGGGTTTCAACTGATTCCCTACTGCATACAACCCTCTGAAGAAGACCTATAAAGTCGGATCAAAACGATGACTTTAAATAAAATATATTGTTACTATTTTAGTCTTTCTATGACAGCTACCCCGGATCATCTTCTCACTCAATAATACACCACGGTCAACCATCAAGTATTTAATAAAATAAAAACATTTTGAAAAAGAAATGGATGCAGCCACTTACGAAACTTATCATCTCAATGGTTTTCTACAGTTACAAAAACAAGTTAACAAATCGGTTCTACCAGTAAATAACTAGTAAATGTGAAACATAATTGGTAATAAAATGATCTGGATTGTAAATTTTAACTAATATATGTAATGTGCATAGAAAATGAAAATCAAACATTAAATGGGACTGAAACTATGCTGTCTTCTAAATCAATTTTTAAAATAACTTGATGTCAAGGATAATGAAACTCAATTATTAAATACCTATATGTTACATAGATTTCTTTTTGATGTTACAAATCAAAGGTATATGCCGTATTTCATTATGACATGCAATTATTATAATATATGATTTAAATTAACCCTTCAGGAAGTAAGTTAGAAATATATAAATTTGGGAACAATCAAATAGCTTCAAATATTCCAGATTAAAAAAGAATCTTAATTTATATTACAACTAGTATAAGTAAGAATAAAAATGATTGTATATTTTAAAACCTAATAAGTTACAAATATTTTTAGGACTTACCACTATATCATAGATTAAAGCCTACATTTCAACCAATGTGTTATCATTCAATATTGCTCATCCAAAATTTTAAAGAAATCCATCCCTCAAGCTAATTTTTTTTATAGTTTGTTAACATCTGAAAAAAGTTTTAAACATTGAATAATTAGCCAATTTTTAATAAACATAAGTTATCTCTAGAGATTTTATTCTAATTTAAATTACTAGAATTAATGTGGAGTTGGTTTAAATGAGTTTGGAGCCTTTTTTACTGGCTTCAGTAGTTCCCTCCTAAATTTTCAAGCTATGTTATATATCATATTTTAAACTATTGAAGTTTAATTGAAATAGTGGAAAAAAATGTTTCAAAATATATAAATTATGAGTTTAAATTTATTTTGTGATTTATATTATTAAAACAAAACATTTTTGAATCAAATAACAATTAATACCATTAATTAGTATCTAAGGCATTGGCACACCTTGATTATTTCAGCTTTGGTTTTTGGCTTGTAGTGTTTTAAATGTAAGTAATCCTTAATTATAAGGTTTTAGTTTTTGTTCTGTTTCTTGAATAACTTTGGCAATGTAAGTAATGTTATATAATCTGCTTATATTCATTTAATGGCTTTGAATGGTAAGAATACTTCTGTGAAATATTATAATATTTACTCCATAATCAAATCATGCATTTAAGGGTGTAAAACTAAATTATTTGCTACTTGGAAAGAATATTTTAATTCTTAAAAACGATCGTCATATTTCATTATGATTGAAGACTTTGATGGAGGTTATTAATTTAAGTTGAATTTATAATTATTAAAATATCTATGTTGAAGTTGCTTCAGTTTAGTTACTCCAACATGATGGCAGCTTCTAAAATGTCGATAACTTAACAATCATGAACAGTTCGATCTAACATCATTTTTCTCGATTTTGAGATCTTTTTATGTGACTTTTATGAAGGATGTTTAGAATGAAGTCTTTCTGATTCATTTCCTTGGCCAACGTTCATTGGTTAAATACGTTTCACAACTTCTAAATTGATTATTATTTGAATTTAAAATAAGAAGGGAAATGTTTTATTTTTTGCTCTTTGTTAAATAGAGATCGCTAGCATCGTCAGATCGATCTGGAAACGATATTTTATTCGTTAGAGTTTTTAAAATCGTCTCTACTCCAGTCGTTCCATTTTGAAATGATCTTCCGTGACTAACTTTCATAATGAAATTCTTGTGAAATAAATAATGATTCAAAAATGATAAGCTCTTTCAGCAAAGTTTAAATACGTAAGTAGTTTATTGACCATAGAATCGTAAGTTATTCATTGATTTGTCTTTTAGCTTGTGAAAGTCAACATGTTTCACATTATAATGAAAATAAATGAAATAATCAGGAAAAAAAAGATGATGAATGTTGGGTAAGTTCCTTAATTCTGCTTTGAGTTCATCGTTGACTTTGGCCCGCCTCTTGACTGGGAAAAAGGGGGTCATCGATGAGCTCAGCGCTGAGTCTAGGAATTAGCTCGTTCTAGAACATTCTTGTTAATGCAGCGTTACCAACATTAAATAGTTAAAAATTAAAGTAAAATGAAACTTTTTTTTTATTTCTGCTAAATATTACTAAAACTTAAATATTATGTTATTTTAATATGAATTAGATTTTTAACAAATATATAAATGGTTATTTCATTATGCTAGAATTTTGCTTCTTAGTTTTGATAATTTCCATCTGCTGTCTGTATCAAGAAAAATAAAATTAATAGTTTGGTTTAGCAATAATCTGGCTGTTATTTAAGTTAGATACCTAATTGTATTTTCCATAGTTTGTGAAATGAATAAATGCACCTTTAATGTCCTTTGGTTAGGTATATATTATTAATTATCATTATATTTTATTTTTATATAATTGAAGTAAATTTTTTTTTTTTTTTGTAGAATACATATTAGAATTGGTTATAATCCTGAAAATTGTTAAAACTATTACAATTAAATGTTAACATCAATTGAAAACTAATTTTCTATTCAGTTCATTAATTTATTTTATTATTTTTGTCTCCAAATGATCAAAAAAGAGCATATATATCTTTTTAATATGAAAATAATGTAAAATGCAACATCCTGATTTAACTGATACTGTTTTGATGCTGGAATTTTGAGGTAGGTAGCTAATGAAAATTGAGTTATGGGTGATTAAATTATGGCAGCAGTCTTCTTAACATTTAGAGCCAATATCAGTTGTGAGCCATATATATTTTTTTTCATATCTTCTATCAGCCCACTGCACTGTTCCTAATTACAGTTTTATATTAAATATTAATGAAATGGTTTGTTTAATTTTACTTAATAGACTTAGGATTGTAGTTTTAATGGTAAGAAATTGTTGCTTTTATGTAATCACTGATTGTATTTATAATATATACATTATTATTTTAAAATGGTCCAAATCTACATGAATTGGTGTAAATTTAAACAAAAAAACTTTAAAATCTTATTCAGGGTGATTTAGTTCAGAATTAGTTTTGAAAATATTTCACTAAAGAAATTAATAGTAAAATACAATTAGAACTAGTAGCTTAATTCTTAGTGTTTTTTAAAATATTTTAATTTTCTTGATTTATATTCTGTTTTTGTCTATTATTTGCAAAAAATGTTTATTATTGGAAAAATATAAAAAATATAAAAAAAAATTTAAATATAACTTTATAAATGTAATTAGTTTAAAAAAAAAATTGATATTTCTGAAAACAATTATGAATATGAAATGATTAAAAAAGTATTATAATTTTGTCAAAACGGTACTCTGCAATTTTATCCTTAACTGAATCACCTTAAATATAACATATAATTCATATATAATTAGTGTAAAACAGAATTTCATTCATAACACCCTTTATTAGTTAGAGAATAATAATTTACAGATTTCTGTCAGTTAAAAACACATCAAACTAAAGAATTAGTTTCATATATGAGATAAAAAATTAAAACTTTGGGATTTGTAAATTTTATGAAAAATATTTCAAACATTATTAAAGTTTCTGTTTTAAATACCTCAGTTTTATATCATGATTGGTAGATATAAAAGTTTTCTGTATGGTATATATTTATGTTTAAGTCTCAAAACACTAATATTTATAACTAAAATAGGTTAATGATTACTTGCTACCAAAAGAATCTGCATTTTCTATCTCTCTCATCATCACTTTTGCTTCTTCGATGTTACATTCAAGCAGTAGATTCAAAAAGTAATGATAGATGTATTTTAAAATCCACTCAGATAGGAATCCAAACAAGGATTGACATCAAATCAGATTTTTTGGAGAAAAATAATCTACTCTATTCTTGACTCACTATATGCAGAATATGTTTGTAACCTGTAGAAGAACCCATCCT